CCGTGCTAAGACTGTAACATGCCTATGTATAACCTGTGTATTTGGCCAACCCGTGCTAAGATTGTAACATGCCTATGTATAAAATGTGTATTTGGCCAACCCGTGCTAAGACTGTAACATGCCTATGTTTAACCTGTGTATTTGGCCAACCCGTGCTAAGACTGTAACATGCCTATGTATAATCTGTGTATTTGGCCAACCCGTGCTAAGACTGTAACATGCCTATGTATAAAATGTGTATTTGGCCAACCCGTGCTAAGACTGTAACATGCCTATGTATAACCTGTGTATTTGGCCAACCCGTGCTAAGACTGTAACATGCCTATGTATAACCTGTGTATTTGGCCAACCCGTGCTAAGACTGTAACATGCCTATGTATAACCTGTGTATTTGGCCAACCCGTGCTAAGACTGTAACATGCCTATGTATAACCTGTGTATTTGGCCAACCCGTGCTAAGACTGTAACATGCCTATGTATAACCTGTGTATTTGGCCAACCCGTGCTAAGACTGTAACATGCCTATGTATAATCTGTGTATTTGGCCAACCCGTGCTAAGACTGTAACATGCCTATGTATAATCTGTGTATTTGGCCAACCCGTGCTAAGACTGTAACATGCCTATGTATAAAATGTGTATTTGGCCAACCCGTGCTAAGACTGTAACATGCCTATGTATAACCTGTGTATTTGGCCAACCCGTGCTAAGACTGTAACATGCCTATGTATAATCTGTGTATTTGGCCAACCCGTGCTAAGACTGTAACATGCCTATGTATAATCTGTGTATTTGGCCAACCCGTGCTAAGACTGTAACATGCCTGTGTATAATCTGTGTATTTGGCCAACCCGTGCTAAGACTGTAACATGCCTATGTATAATCTGTGTATTTGGTCAACCCGTGCTAAGACTGTAACATGCCTATGTATAATCTGTGTATTTGGCCAACCCGTGCTAAGACTGTAACATGCCTATGTATAATCTGTGTATTTGGTCAACCCGTGCTAAGACTGTAACATGCCTATGTATAACCTGTGTATTTGGTCAACCCGTGCTAAGACTGTAACATGCCTATGTATAATCTGTGTATTTGGTCAACCCGTGCTAAGACTGTAACATGCCTATGTATAACCTGTGTATTTGGTCAACCCGTGCTAAGACTGTAACATGCCTATGTATAATCTGTGTATTTGGTCAACCCGTGCTAAGACTGTAACATGCCTATATATACTAAAGCGAGCGTTCAATTTCCTACAACTAGAGTATAAACTTAATACGTTAGCAACAACTGTGGTCTAGCTATACATATTCAGAAATAAAGTCACGAGAACACGGACAAGTGATTCAGAACCTGTAACAATAGGCAAGATAGTTAACACTTAGTGAGGAAGGGGTGTCCATTAGTTAATGACTATTGTTAACGTTAAATTAAGTGTTATTGTTAGCAGTTGGTGTTACAGATTTGGAATCGCAGAAACAGCGGGATTTTTAAATACGAAAGCAGCGCAAAGCCTCGGGGATTAAGGAAATATAGTATGACTGTAATCCTTTGGCAGATACCACTTTAAGACCTTGGAGTGTTATGTATTGGTAAATTTGTGCTTTATTAATATCCTACTCCAAATAGGGCATAAGAACTTGGAGTGTAATGTATTGGTAAATTGGTGCTTTATTAATATCCTACTCCAAATAGGGGGAATCCACAGGTCACGGGACAGTCTAATATTTCAGGGGGTGGTAGACAGGCTGCATGCAGTAGTGGTACCTAGGCTGCACTCTCTCGTGGGACGTACGTGGGTTCGGGTTAGGACCAGTTCTAGGTGTTTTGTGGTCGTTAAAAGCATCAGAAAGCTGGGAAACCCAGTCTTACGACCCTCTAAAATGTTGGACTGTCCACTGACGACATCTGGGGTAAGATTTTAAAAAAGAACCGGTAAATTAACATCAGTAAGGTAAAACGCCCTCGTCACTCTTTCGTGATCATCATGTATGTGGTAGGTAAAGTAGGAAGCTTTCACGGCTTAGGCGCACTGGACACGAGGGAAGTAAAGGCCCATTTGTAACGCCTTCAGGCGTATTAGGAATATAGGGCTAGGCTTATACTGTTAGACCTATCGGCCCTGTGTGGGTGATGTGGTCGGAATCACGCCGGTCGCCTTTACTTCCCAGGACTGCACCTGGTACCTGAAGAAAGCTGGGTCGAGCCAAAGTCATTTTGAAAAAAAAAAAAAGAATCTGGCTCCGCCAGGATCTGAACCAACGACCTTGCCATCCGCAGGCGAGCTTCTAGCCGCTGCACCACTGCCATTCCTACATTTAGTACTAGAATTATATTTTTAGAAACCAATCGGCACTTGGTGAGTATTGTGGTCAACATCAAACATGTCGCATTTACTTCCAGTGACATTACCTTGTACCCTTTCAAGGATGCGTTGACCTGGCATCAGAGGTCAATTTAAAACAAACCGAACAAGTACCGTGTTTCCGTAAAGTCATGGTGCACTTTTGACCGGTCGCAGGAAATCAACTAAACAAGATAGAAATGTGACTGATCCGCTGCTGCGCAGTTTGTGGTGTTGCGTCCACCCCTGTGTGCACACATGCCTGCACATCGTAGTACGAAACTTAAAGTGTTTTCCTTCTTTTTTGTGTGTGTAGATTTCACATCTCTATCTTCCTTTGAAATGCTTTAGAAAGATTCTCAGAATATCTTGGACAAAGAAGAGGAGAAATACTGATATTTTGAAAGATCTGAACATCAAGGAAGATTGGCTAATAAACAGCATCCGGTCTCGGAAGCTGAAATATTTTGGTCACATCAAGCGCGATGACGGATAGGGGGAAAGAATAATAGCAGAATGCATGTAACGAGGAAGGAAGGAAGGGCAGGGGCCGACCAACACGAAGATGGGCACAGGATATAAGTGACTCCTTGAAGCGGGAGAGCTGGCTAGAGACCGAGTTTCTTTTGGCAGACCGTGATGGGAGCGACGTTCTGCAACGCACCTGCTACATAATGATGAGGATCTTCATTTGTTGCTTTCCTGTTACCGGTCACAAGTGCACTATGGTTTTATGGATAAAGTGTATGTCTCGATTAGGATTTCTTCTTCGCGTTTACAGGCTGTTAAAAAAAAAAAACTCCAGTGGAAAGTTCAGGTTGTTCATTCATCTACATCTGGACTGTGATTTTGTTCTAGAATTTGAGGTTTGCGTGTACATCTGTTTTACAGACCTGGTTTATTTCTATACAGACTGTTGGTTCCTCATTTCCCATGCAGATGCACTTGGACTTTGAAGGAAACTCCTCTAATTAGTCGTCTTTTACGACATGATTCTTAGGAAGCAGTGGGTCCATCCCACCCCGACCCCACCCCCGTCACTAAAATAGGGCCTGGAACTTACATATGGAGATGGGGATTTGAACTCAGTATTTTCGACACAGCACCGAGCTTCTAGCCACAACTTTATAACGCCTCCAATGGAATATTCAGAATAATTATATAACATTTAATACAATAATAATACAATAATTTAATAACACGAGACAGGGTTACGAATACCAGCATCAGAGAGAAAGTTAGAATAAGACCATGTCTGATTTATAATGACAGGCAAAGAATGAATGGTTCGGCCATCTAGTGATAATGCAGCCAGACCAGACTGTATATGAGACTTTTTACAGTAGAACATCTGGGAGGAAGGCAATAAGAAGACGAAGAAAGAGATGGATGGATGTTATAGTTAAAACCTGCAAAAAGATGTGCAAATCCTTCACTCAAACCACCGGAGAAGCTCAAGATAAATACAGAAAACCACGACACTGGACTACAACCTGGTATCAGTGAGACGACAAAACCACGACAATGGGCTACAACCGGGTATCAGTGAGACGACAAAACCACGACACTGGGCTACAACCTGGTATCAGTGAGACGACAAAACCACGACACTGGGCTATAACCTGGTATAAGTGAGACGACAAAATGACGACACTTGGCCACAACCTAGTATCAGTGAGACGACATATATCAACTTCTGTTTTGGAAGGACTGGAAATAAAAGGAGAATTGCTGACATAAATAAAATTAGGTGAATTGTTGTGGTAACACACCCAAAACGCTCATAACAAACAAAGGGAGGGAAATATTAATGGCGGACTAGTTGCACATTTCTTCTTCTTCTTCTTCTTCAGCATTTCGAGCCCTTGAGGTTCACTGCTGCAGATATCACCCGCATCCACTCATTTCTCTGGCTGGCCTTCTCTTTCTAGTTAATGACACCTAGTGTTTGCAGGTCTGTCTGGACGTTATCTCTCCATCGCCTTCCTGGTCTGCCTCGTGGTCTACGAAATTCAGCTCCCTTGTGTATACAGTTTTTACCTTTCTGTCATCTGACATTCTCTCAATTATTCAGTCTATTAGATCTGATAATGCCAGTGATCAATGGTTATTTAAACAGATTATGAATTTTGTTGTTGTTTCTCTCGCTCCATTGCATCGCTGTTTGCATCTTTGATGGGTACAAAGATTTGCTGTATTACTCTATTTTCGAAAAATTTTCATGAGGCTTTATCTCTTTTAGTTGTGATCCAAGTTTCACAGCCATGTAAAACGACTGGTTTTATCAACATTTTATGTGGCTAGCTGGACTTAGCGACAGATAAAACTGAATATTCGGCTCTGTGGCTATGTCGATGCGAACGCTTTGTAATGCCGGGATGCAGGGTTCGATCCCAGCTGCGGGCCACGCGCCTTGCGTTGGTTTTAACAGTGGTATCAAGAAAGCCGACCGTCCAGAGGGCAATGGCAAATTACTAGAGGTAAATTTGCCTAGAGAAACCACACAACAGCCAGGGGCTGTTAGGGTTGGTTCTGCAACGCCCTGTAAAGGATACGCAGCTAACCTTTTAATACCTGAATAGCATTAACAGAAAAAGTCTACAAAGAGAGTAGAAGCAGAGTAAGAAAGTGTGTCGGGGAACAAGTGCAACCAACCTTCATTGTGAAGACGGCCCCTGACAGGTTTGACCGATCAAGAAGATTCGTACATTCCCTTGTGTGAACAACTTAGGATTATTATGGACAAGCTTATGTCATTATATTCCCATCTGACTTGTCAGCCAGTCCTATTGGAACGCTGATAATTTGTTTTCAATTAGCACAGCTCCCTTGATACAAATGGTCCACCCCCCCGGAGAATTGAACCCAACCCACAATCACCGCTACCTGTGGCTTTTAATTGTGTTGATCCTTATCAGGTCCACTGACCGGAAGAAAGATCTGGTGGCGACGGTAACAATGGCGGGCGGGGAGCTGTCTTTTATACTTCAGCTAGGGGTGTACTATTTTCACCTAGCTTCAAACATCTTCATTAGGGTTTCAATAGATTCAGTGTACCCAAAGATGTCTGTCCATCCGTACACAAAAAGGTCTCTTTTCGTTTTTTACACATTGAGTGTGACCTTGGCAAAAGGCTCCACACTTTAGTTGAGGGTTGTGGC